GTGAAAGAATTTAGATGATAAAATGCCGGGAGAAGAGGTAATTTTCCCCACAGTACAACTCCTGTGTACAAATAAGAAATGCCTGAACAATAGACGCTATTTTTTGCGAAAAGAAACTTCGGGACATAACAGTGCCTAGTTCTTACATGATGTGAAAATATTTAGTATCTTCGAAGTGATTTCTTTTCTTCCTCATCACCTAGTCGGACGTGAACGTAGCTCTTACATCCAGTGCACTTGTAGAAGAACTTTTGCGAAGTGTGCCCCTCACATCTCTTCGTGCAAGTAGTGATTTAAGAGAATGATCTAAGCAAGCACCAAACCAGCCGTGACACACCAAGGAAATTGAATGGAAGAACATCTGATGGTTTCTCATTATCATTGATTTTGCCCAGCTCATAAGCGGGACCAACAGTGAGTAAAATCGTAACCACACTCCACATCTCGACTAGGGAAGTAGCTGGGCTATCTCCAGTCTTTTTTTTTCTTTTACTGTATTTTTTTTTTCTTTTTCCGTTATTACAGTCACTTCAAAGCAGGTCTTTGAACGGTTATAACCATCATTAGCAATATAGCGTGATCACGAAGGTATTTCTGGTTTACGTTTTAGTAAGCTGGTGCGCACATACGCAGGGGCAGTCGTTTGTGATTTACAATATTTATTGCGTCTAGTCTTTCAATAACTGCGTTTCCATGGAGAACTGTTATTGGATGTTCTGACTGACAGTGTATAGATGCTTTTACAATACAACTGAGAAAATGCATTCACTTCCATGGAAAATGAAATGACATGTTGGAGCATATTATGCTCCTTCAGCAGTGGCTGCTTGTATTATTTTTGCAGTGCCTTCAAGATGCCACGAAGTGTACAGGAATTTGTGTGTAGACTCCCGATTGTGACGCCTAGTCAGATGGTAAAATGGTCACCCTCTCCAGGGATGTGATCAAGCAACGTCTTTTCGAAAAGAACGCTTGCTGACTGTTACAGAATCAAGCTAGTCAAAACAGTTCTCTGTCGAAACAGATTGTAAATATTTACCTTTTTCTCTGCCTTAGTTCTGTATACCCTTATGGTTCTGCACATCTTTTCCTATATGAAGCAAACCCTGAAATATATACTAGTCAACAAGAAAAAACAAAAAACAAACCGGAACAGTCACTCAACAAGATCTAGTCAAAAGGGGACAGGTAGCCATTTCTGAATACTGCGCCGCGACCTCCAACCTGCCTCCCAAGCCAACTGAGAGAGATCCATTCGCAGGATAGCAGGATTATGTCCGTCTTGCATGGTCCTCCTTCCAAGTCTATCCTTGTAAGATAATCCTTGTAAGGTCATCCTTCAAGGGCTATCCTTCTAAGACCCTCCTCCTAAAGCCATTCTTCTAGGGTCATCCTTCGAAAGGAAGGATTTCGAGAGAATGAAGAGGAACTTTTGACTTTTAGACACTGTCGTCTCTGTTCAATGGGAGTTCCTCATTTCTCTTCCCTGATAACCATTGTCATTTTTATTTCTTTCTGAAATGACATCAGCATATAGTTCATCTCACAATTGTTTTATCAGTTTTAGGATGATTGAACGATATTTATAACTAATGGAAGCATTATTGATGTGGCTCTCTCATGAGCTGTCAACATGCTTGTCTCCAAGAGATTGAAACTAACAACACCAGCGATTATTCCTAATTATGTCTGCGTGTCATTAACTACCGTCATTATTAGTCTACCAACTAATAGCCACTAGATATAACAACCAATTACCGAAACTACGCCTAACTCTGACTTAAAACCAACTCATACAGCCGACAATCACATCTTGATAACTTTAAGAGGCGTCAATCCTCTCTCATCATTATTGTTCACTTCTTTTCCATTGAAGTCAACCAGTACAGTAAAGGCAGAATGAAAGGACTGCAAATATGTTATTAACAAATCAAACATTAAGCAAAAGATCTGTAAAGCTCTCAACAAAAAAGTCATACTAAATCAAAATATATTGCAAAGACGTTAATGAAATATTTTCAGTCGTAGAGGTTTCCCTTCATCCTCATCGCTGATTCACCCATTCGTCCATATATATTAAGTTATATCCAAATATCGATTAGAGAAGCAGGGCACTTAACAGTAATCTTTAAGAAATGAAATCGAGAAGTTATGAAACATTTCTCCTTCAAGAGGCAACCTAATTTAAATGAACAAAGGAGAAAGCAAAGATCCCTTTCAGTGGTTCAGTTTATGAAGAATATCATATTCATTATGGTTATTATGGCCTCAGAGAAACTGGAGCTTTACTATTGACATATATTTTACCTCAGCCGTTCCTTCTTTATTTGCCTAAATGGTCACTGGTCTTTGAACATATCTGAGAGTTGATTGATTTACTGAAAAATAACATTTATGATGCATAAGATGATTTGCTTCAAACTCTTTTCTTGCACCTTTTATCACACCTATCATCACTGACTTAACTAATGCTATTATAGGGTAACTGTTACTGCTATTT